AGTGGGATCAAGGAGTGTTTAATTAATTTAAGACCCCAATACCTTTCTTGCGGTACTTGATCCAATTCCATAAAGAACGTGAAGGAATTTCTCAGTTCATTTGTTTAAACATATTAAGCAGTCCAAACAGACTCTTGTTAATCGTGGAGGAAGCACGATTCAAATAGGGGTTTCATTCGATATAGGGAGGATAAAACACATTTTTACTATTTTTGATTGCAGAGGTTGCGTCTGGTTCTCCTAGGAAAGGTTCGGGTGTGATTAAAAATATGATCATCCGAGTCTTGCCGGACAAGCACTTCCATAGTGGACAAAGGGCCTAATGGGCTCAAATCCTGTTATGGAAAGTGAAGGCCTCAAGAGATGACAATCGGAGAAAGTACTATTCCCTGGAGTACTTCCAGCCATACCGGCGGCAAGCTCTCCGGTAGGGAAGCTGAACATTTACGTACGGAAATGCAATACCAATCGAAACCTCCATCCCCAGTAGCACCCCAATATATACCGCCAAGATGTATACATCATGGCTCTACATTGGCACCCATCTTGGACCATTATTGGCTTTACTACACGGAAAAACATTGAGCCAATATTATGGCGTTAATATTTTCCGTAATTTTTTTTCCAATGGAGGCATTCTAATGATGAAGGCATTTTACTATGCAGTACTAGTACGGCCTGTACCTGAATAGCCCCTTGCCTATGCACAAGTCTCTCTCGTGCATAAGCAAGGATTAGGACATTGAACAGTACAGAGGCTGACTACCCCTGAACGCACTAATTATGTAGAACGTTTCAGGAGGTCAACTCCTACCTTTTTTTTTTTAATTAAAGTTAGGAGCTAAAGGTATGGTGGGCCCCGCTGTCATGTGGTGGACCGACACATGACCCTCGCCCACCATGGTGAGATCCTCCCAACATGAGGGCTGGCAGAGAGCAAGACCCTCATGAAGCTAATGACTTAGCCCTGAGAAGGTGACTCATGGCTATGGGGGAGAAGTCAACCCNGAGCGATCACAGATCCCTGAGGGACTCCCGCTGTTGGGGAAAAGGATTCGGAAAAGGAGTTGCCGACCCTGACCCTAAAGGTTCTCTCGGACAGATATGAGGCTATCCAGCGCAAGAATCGCAGGGGGATTTTAAAAAGAAAGTGAAGTTTATAGATTAGCCCTGCGTGCCATACCTTATCGAATGCTTTGGTAACGTCAAAGAAGAGAGCTAAGAGATGCTTTTTACTGTTGACAGCCTCGAGCGCGTCGTGGTGGAGCCGAACGAGCTGATCGGTGGTACTTAAATTAGGTCGAAAGCCTGATTGACAAGATGTGAGAAGGTTTAGAGATTCCAGATAGTTAGATAGTCGAGCAGTTAGAATCCTTTCAAGGAGGAATTTGCAGGCGTGGACGGTTGGGTGTGCGAATGGGAAGGGGAGAGATGGAGAGCTGCGTTCGGATTAGGAGCACTTTTGAGGGAGCGGATGGATTCGGAGGCTAAGGATGCAGGTTTGGAGTTGGCATGAGAAGATGGAGAGGATTGACGTTTCGGCCGAGGGGGTGTAGGCACAGTGGGTTGTGAAGAGGGGGAGGAAGGCGGGGACCGATTCTTACGAGTCTTCCTCTTACCAGGCATTCTGTGCCTGGTGAGAGGGGGGGATGATTTAGGGAGAGAGTCTGGTGAACAGAGAGAAGAGGCTAGAAGCAAGAAGAGAGAATGAGAATAGTAAACAGTGAGAATGCCTTCAAAAAGATAGTGCAGAAATGGTAAGGTTTGCCTTCACAAAGACAATTCGCGCTGCTGGAACAATGGGCCCGGCAGTAGGGATGAGGATATCAGTTGATGCCTGGGAGTAGACACCAGCCGTGGACATTTTTCATCTGACTCTTTTGTAGGAGTTCTCTCATAGAGAATATGAGCTTGATTATTTCCTGGACTCCATGATTCTATCTCGAATATGCGGATAATAAATGATGAATTGTCCGACTTTATTGATTGTTATAATGAGACTAGGCGAGACATATAGCGAGGTACTAAACATTCCTGTGAAGGACGATTACAGGGAAAGAGGGAAGGGTACTTCTGTGTACTGTGAGAAAAGCGAGACCTATTCTTCCATCTAGCGGCCTGAAGGATAACTTCAAGAGCAGTCGGGCACATTGGATCACCGCATTGGTCCAATATTGGATGAATAATGATATAGCAATATCGGAATTTCATTGTTTCTCCATCATTCACCCAATATTGGCAATATTGCCCAAGATCTAGCCAACGTACCAAATGTCAGTCCAGCATTGGGCCAATATCTGGTGCTACTGGGGATTAACCCCCTGAATGTCATGGCGCACGTCGACATTTGACGTTGGCCCAACGTAGGTGTGGCTCAAATTCCATATGGAATTTGAATACCTCAAAAGATGACAATCGAGTGAAGTACTTCTCCCTGGAGTACTTCAAGCCCGACCGAGAGAGACTCGTTGGCATTGTCCCCTGTAGGGGAGCTGAACAATTACGTATGGAAATACGATCTCAATCAAAGCCTCCTTGAATCGCCTGAATGTCATGCCGCATGTTGGCATTTGACGCTGGCCCAACGTGGGGCCGCGGGACAAGCCTACGTTGGCCCAACGTTGGAAACCAATGTTGAGCCCACATCGCCAATGTTGAATTCCAACATAGGCCCAATGTTGGCCCCAAGTGTGTGTGCTGCCGGGGTTCCTGTCTCGACGAAGAAGTCGCTCCCGGTTGCTTCTCACTCGGATTCTTGAGTTGTCATTCGTCTCGTTGAAATTATCAATGCCTCGCGTAACAATCCTTCCCCCGTGTGGGAGATTAAGGACTCTGTTCACATCCATTAGCTCCTAAATCCTAAGGAACTTCTAATTTCTTTTATTAGCGGAATATTCAATGTCACTCGGTAGCGACTCAGTGCAGCAACCCTGGAATCGAATCACTTTCGGTCCTCACCTCAGCTTTATCCTGTCAAAAAATTCATATTCAACTTGACAAAAGAGACTTAAGGATATTGAAACTGATAAGTTCTCTGGCCTAGCCGTAGTTCTAAAATAATTGTGAAAACGTAGACAGGATCTGAATATCCTCACAAGAGACATCTAGTAGGGGTAAGTGAAGAACGAATCCAGATTCCCTGTTCTAAACTGTAGGCAGAAACGGCTCGTGATTTATCCCAATGAAAGTTTTATAACTGAATCCTTCGCATGCGTGTCCCTTGCAGTTTTTAAACCTTTTGCCTGGGTTTCACGAGAATCCTTTTTATGAAGGATTGGAGTTTTCCTGTATGGATTTATTTTAGATCCTTCTAATAGGATTTACTTGGCACATTTTCCCTGGCACAAGAGGGATAAATGGGAAGCTCTTCAGTAATATTCTTGTTCTTCTGTATCCCCCCTGAGATTTTTTGTGCGTCAGGAATTGGTTGCAGGTTTAACTCCAATGAGTTATTGGTTTAATAATGAAGGTTTAATAAGTATTCTCAAGGAACTTGCTTCGAGAAGGAATGATTTCGCCCGCAATGGCGGTTAATCACAGTTCTATCCTTCTGCTGGGCACCTCTGGAGCACAATCTGATTAAAATATCTCAGAGGAAAGTGAAGAGATGTCAAACTCAATTTGGAAACAGCAAAATTATATTACATTCCAGTACTATGGAATCCGGGAAACTGAACGCTCACAGGTTGAGGAAGTTGATTCTTTTCTGCACTGAACGGTATCTTTAGAGCGATTCTCATAAATCCACTCGACTCTGAGTCACCCATGGCCTCAAGAAGTGAGGCAGAAACAAGCCACTGTGATTATCGATCGGATACGCACCTCCCCCATCCCCCCTCCTCCCTAGTGTGACATATGGGGGGGGGGGGGGGGGGGGAACTTTTTTTTTTGAAGGNCCCCCCCCCCCCCGAGTGTTCCATTTGGGGGGGGGGGGGGGGGGGAACTTCTTAATTTCGGCTCCCCGACAGATGTGGCTGCGAATCGGGCTTGCCTTCCCCTCTAAATTACGCTTTCTCACCCCTGTCACGCCCGAGTCTTCCATGCGACCAGGCTGTTATTTCGAGAAGGCAGGTGTCTCTCAAGTCGCTTTTTTGCGGCAGTATTCAAGAGTGGGCAGGAAGGATCCATCACAGTGAGAAAGGTGGAGGAAGCTGGAGGGAAGGAAAGTGGAGGATGAGGTCAATGGGTCAGTCGCCTGTGCAATCGTAGCCCTTCTAATTAAGAGGAACCGTGGGCACTATCGCACGAGAACAAACTTTCCCACCAAAGGTCGCGAGCAATAAGACTCCATGAGACCATATCTACGTGAGAAACCAATTAGATTTGTGCAAATCTCGTTCTGAGAGCTGGTCAACCCTTTAGGAAAACATCCCAGACGGCATGTATTCATAAAAATTAGGGCTCCATATTTATTTCCCAAATTTTACTCCAAATTTGACTTTCTTCAAGTGGCTTTTGACTCATCCATGATACTGCATCCTTGAATTAGGTAAGCCATCGCCAAGAAAATTACGATGCGTTTGATTAAATATTTAATGGATCATGAGATCCAGTAATTAATCTCCTCTGCACGAAGACACGACCTTGGGAATTCCAGGACCGAGCGCGTCGTGTAAGTTCAAATATTGACCTATATTGCATATCCTCTTCATTACCTCGTATTCACCCTCGATGATCACGACTGACAATTTTCAGTGCGCTTTTAGCTCTCTGATTGGTCCAACGCTGTTAATCCGTTTAGATTGATCGACCGCTATGGTAATCACGCTGAAATAAAATGAGAAAGACGAATTAAACTTCGGTTCTTGGTTCTTGAGTTTGATGAAGCCCCTTTCTTTTGTCACCTTCGGTGATTATGTGAAAAAAGCAGTAAACGCGCATATATTGATAGATCCGATATGGGCCTATCGTGCAGACTGATTATTCAAAGAAACATCATAGCCATCATAGGATTACATTAATGATCTGTAAATGATTGGAGAAACTTACGTGTCGTGCAGGGAACCGGAAGCCGAGTTTGGAGAGGCAGACGACCCTCTGGGACGACGACGCCTACCACCAACCCCTCCCGAATCGGTAAGGAAAAGAAAAGGAGAGTGCCGGGCGACTGTGTGGGAGGCCTCTTGCGCCTAAATATCTCCTCGTTCTTAGTTGGAATCTTGCCTCAGTCGGAGGGAATGATTCCGTGAATATTGGAAGCAATGCCATTTTCCAATGATAATAGAGAAACGCCTCGTGCTGATTCCTGCACGTGACGCTCGAGGAACTCGATTAACAAAGTTCCTCAAGTGATAAACGTTTCCGTGATGGAAAATGATGTCTTTTCTTTTCTTTTCCAGGGACGGGTTGGAGGATGAGAGCACGCCTCAAAGCGCATACCCCCCTTCATCATATCAGTACGGGTATGGCGACGACTTCATTTATCGTCTCTGTCCAAATTTCCCTCGTCTTCTTCCCCGTCTGCAAACATAATTGAAATGTATCTCTTGATTCCGGAGCAGGGACGGAAAGACGGAGTACGGTTATGACTGGCAGGGTTCATGGGGTCAAACCGACGAGCAACAGCAACATCAGCAGCAGCAGCAGCAACCACAACAACAACCACAACCACAACCACAACCACAACAACAATCACAACCACAGCAACAACAACAACAACAGGATCACTACATGGACGAGGGCTACCGCGACAACGGCTACGACGTCTATGGCTACGAATACGGCTACTACGACCCGGAATCCGGGACGTGGAACTCCTCCGACCCGAATGCCTACTACGACTACGGAGAATATTACAATCAAGAGTACTGGGACGAGAACGCCTACAACTACGGGGAAGGGTACGATGCTTACGGAGCAGCATATCAGGAGGAGGATGCGCCCACGCCGAAGGCGGAGTATCAGCCGGATATCAGCCAAAAGGCTGACATCGGCCCGAGGGCTGATGTCAACCAGAAGGCAGGTGCCAATATCAAACCAGCATATCAGCAAGCCACGTCGGAGCTCAGGAAGGAGCTGGGCTCCTTCTTCGGTCGCCTCAAGGACGATCTCTTGAAGCCCAAGTTGAACCTAGTGCCTGGAGTGGAGACGGAGAGGGCAAGGGAAAGGACGAAAGCCAACGGATCCCTTTCCTCCTTCTTCCTGAACAATATCAAGCAAGTGCCTCAACCAAGTGCTACCCAAAACCCTCCCCAACAGCCCCAATTTCAACCGCAACTGCAACCCCAGCAACAGCCTCAACTACAGCCACAACCGCAGCCGCAGCCGCAGCCCCAGCCCCAACCACAACCACAACCACAACCGCAACCCCAATTGCAATCGCGACGACAGGAGCAGATAGCCCGACAGGAGACGCTAAGAAGGCAGAAGACGATTGAAGAGGGCGAGACGATAAAGATGTTGAGCCAGCGAAGCTTCGACGAGGCCTACACCAACCAAGGATCCCGTCACAACTCCCTGACGGGGGATTCTCGGCAGAACAGTCTGGCGGGGGAAACCCGATCCCGACAGAACAGTCTCGTCTTGGAATCCCAGAAGAGCTTCGATGGCGAAAGCCGCGGAGATTTCTCCCGTCAGGGCTCCTACATGGAAGAGGAGGAAGACCTCGAGGAAGAAGACTACGACCTCGACGAAGAGGAGATGGACGAAGACGAAGACCCCGAGGACGAAGAAACGGAGGACGAAACCGCCGTCCTCGAGGGGATCGCCCTGGACATCACCAAGCGAAGCGACATCCCCTCGGAGGGCGACCGGGACCTCGCCTTGGCCCTCCCCCCCGTGGAGAAGCCCCTCGGGCCCGGACCCACCCCCGACCCGGTGCCCCGGGAAGCCCGTCACGTGACCTTCGAACCCCAGCGACCCAAGATGAACGCCCGACAGCGCTGGCACTGGGCATACGACAAGATCTCTGCTCAACTCATCGTGAGTTCATCCTCATTTTTTCTCGCTTTATGGATGGAATGCAAGAACAAGGCTTACCGATTACCCCTACTAAGCTCAACTAACTGTGTTGATGATGATGTTCATGTAAAAGTTTTATTTTTTCAGCGAAATGCACCATGATAGCGGCACGAAATTTCGAGCGCTGATATCACGAGCCTTTTTTAAAAATGAGATATCGCAGCAAATATGGAAAATCGCTTGGATTTGGTCCCTGTTCTTGCATCCCACCACATCGCCACGTTTCGCCGCGCCATCGACGCGTCGCCGGAGAAAGAGGAGAAAGTTATGACGAGGAACTCTCTTCGATTCTAAGCTATCCCATCTCGAGACAAACCCGCGATCTTCCTCGTTCCAGAAGAACGAGGAAGAACTTGCGAGAGTCCAATCGAGAGGACCGATTAAGCCCAGCCAGTGGGAAATGGTTCTCGGCAGCTCAACGCATCGTCATGCATGGATCTCTTCCCAAAGAGTTTTAGAGCAACCGACTAATTTTTATGTCGGAACGTCAAACGGTTCTGGAAATTGGGAACCATTTCATATGGTTTTCGAGTGCCTGAAATCGTTTCGAAGGTGTACAACCATCTAAAGGTCCAAACCATATTTATTATTATTATTATTATTATTATTTTATTTTTACTGTAAATGTGTTGTTTACCAAAGCGCATTTTTGCCAGGAAATTTACCGGCTGTTTCTACTCAAAGCGAATTAAATTCATGTTGTCCGGTTGTTGTTGCTACGTCCAATGTGTGTCATGATTCCCCCGTGTTTCCCAATCTTCTCCGATGTCTCAAGGTGAAACACCGAGAGGAAAATCCCATTGCACTTCCATGCGAATTTCTTGGAGGTTTTGCTGCGAATTGTGGATGAATTTTTCCGATAGTATGGAGAAATTCCACGGCGAAGAAGCGTCGTAGGACTTTTGCAGGACTTCAGAAGTCCTGTTCTCATTTTGTTCTCGTTTGTTCCTGGAGTAACTGTCAGCGTCTCATAATTCATTCGGAATCGTGTTAAAAAAAGGTTTGGCCCTTGGAAGTAGACGGGGAAATTGGCTGGTTGGGGTTGCGGTTCCACACGATCGCATTCGTCTTCTTTATCATTAAATCTGACACGCGATATTTTTCATTTGTGGAACCCCTCAGTGACCTTTAAAGTTTGCGTGAGAGAAGGCCTTTTATGGGAATGGCATCATCATATGCACGAAGAAAAATTAATAAAACACACGGATAAATCATTATTTAAAAAAAGCATATGCAAGAAAAAAGAAGTCGGGGTTTCCTCCATCGCAGGCTCTGTAAGCAATAGGACTACCAGGTGTGGGGGAAAAAAGCCACTTCTCGGGGAATGAAAACATTTTAGCCATGACGAAGACACATTCGATGCGGGGCAGCGTGCAATAAAGGACGGGGAAAGTGGGCGGAATTACTTTCAACCTCGGAAAAGATCCAGGACGATATTGACTCGATCCGTCTCGAGAGATGCGACACCGGAGGAGAAGCCGTCTCAGGCGGCCAGTGGCGTTCCCGTGTGTGCCGAGGCAAGGTCACCCGGCGCTCCCCAGGGTCGCATCCCGTTACGGTAAATCCACGGCGGAATCTCCGGGGATCGTCCCGTAGGATGGATGCCCGCATGGAGTCGGGGGATCGCGCTTCCAAGGTCATTTCCTCCTTCCTCCTTCACGTCCTCGGGATGAACTGTTTTTCTTCTTTCTCTCTATTTTCTTTCCACCCGTCGGTCGGGCGTAATCGCGCCATAACATTTCCCTGTGGCGTCCGAGATAAGAGGCCCCCTTCGTCATGCATCATCAGTGTTAACCCCTTTCTAGTGTTGATAATGGTACTTCCTGCAGGGAAGAGACCCAGGCTCGAGTCTCCCTTCTCCCTCAGCCATTCTCGTGCCCATATGTGCGCTCGGCGGGGTGTGCTAGGAAGCCGTCAGCCTCTGTGCCATGCGAGTGTTTCCCGTCCCGCGTCGCATTCCGACGCGTGTGTATTTTATCTGTCGCTTCGTCGAGACTCGTAAGTCCAGTTGGAGTCGGAACGAGACCGTCACTCCTCGAGGAGCGAAAGAGGCTTGATTTTTGTTTCGCCATGAAATCGCAGATCGATTGTGAGGTGAAGGAATGCGATCTTCGGCTGGCAGCCAGATGCATGCAGCCGAGGGAAAGTCCTCCGCGGGGATTCCTCGGAGCGTCGGTGAAGCTCAGTACAGTGTTCGGTTCTTTTTTTTCCTCGTTTCTTCCCATTTAGTTTTTGGTTAGATGGCGGAACGGCTCCTTAAGCGAGTCCTACAGCTTTGGATTTTAAGGAGTGAACGAAATCGTATCCCGTTGAGCGCAGCATAGGAAGAGATGCCGAGTCGGAAAAAGGGAATCTCCTCATTCGTTGACATTCTTGGCGAACCTTAACTTCCTGCATTCCCCATCACGGCAGGCATTAGCTAGGTGACCTCGCAAACGAACTCTTGGCGATTAGGCGTGGTGCTCTTCGTAGAGCATTCATCAGTATGTTACGCGTTCATGGAAAATATTAAATCGATCGTACGACTTTTACGCGGGTGTAATGGTGATTGCATGGATACGGCGAACAGCACCTTAGAAAAGAGTAGAGTCCAAGTAAGAACTGCTTCTCGATGATGTCAGTCTGCTTAAATTTACTTTCACCACTCGATTAAATATTTAACGAACTCAATCGTAAATGGTTTTTGGCGTCACAGACGATATTAAAGCGCATTCAGTTTTGACCTCAGTATGTTTGCCGGCAGATGTCTTTATGTTTTCGGTTTGTAATTTTTTATTTCCTCTCGGCCAATAAAATCCTCTCATTATTGAGAGGGGACCAGGCCCTTTCATTCAGTCTGGAAGAAAAAAAGTCTCAAGCAAAGTCCCAAAAAAAGTCTCAAGAAGAAATTCCCGTTACAATATTTGGTACTCGTACGTCCCATCTGGGACTGGGACTAATCTCCGATTCGATCGGAATTCTTGTCCCATTTCAGGAGGATTCGGGATTCATGGGGAATGATTCAAAACCACACATCTGAATCATCGACGGATCTTTTCCCGATTCGAGTTCTGGGAAAAGATTCCGGAGAAGTTCATATCAGATTCCGTATCTTAAAGGCTTTTCGTTTTTCTCTCTCTAGGTTTGAATATACAGTAGATGCAACGTGATTAATAAACGATTGCAAACGATCTGCAATTCTGTTCTCCTCTGAGGCATGGGATATGCAGTATATTGCATGGTATTAACTTTTATCCGAGATTCGAATCTCATCCCCCAAGATCCTAATTGAATTCCGTTCCCCGAAGGAAGAGTAATTCTGAGATGCGACGTCGGGATCGCTCTCACATGAGGAAAGATTCGGGAATATTGGATTCGGGACACACTCATCACTCTCTAGCCGGTAATCTTCCTCGGTGATCTTCCGAAATGATCTGGTGAAGGTGATTGGAGATCCGTGTGATTCTGAATTGTTGCGGATACTGCACGCATAGGAACACGCGAGGTCATCCAACCGGCGTCGATTGCTCGCATTTGAGAAATGTGATGAAAGTCAATCGGATTACGAGACCATTTCTGGAGCACAGGGGGAAGAAGAAAGGCGAAGATGAAGGATTTTTAACATCTTGGTGGGTTCACATGGGTTTATGACCCTGCGTGATTGACCGCTCATGCCTTCTTCCACTGTTGAACCTGCACAGCACTTCAGTCGCTGCAGGGAAAGGCATCATATCTGGTTTCGGTGCCAGTAATCACTATTAGTATGCCCGCGATGATTCACTTGACGGAGGGCCTCAGCAACGTCATGCGCCCAGCGATGAGCGGAGAATGATGTGGGTCTAATAATCCTAGAAAAACAATGGTTGAGTAACCTCTATTCTGACAGCGAGCTCTTTCGTTCCTCCTACCTCTGCTATCATCTGGATTGCTTTAGTCTACCAGTTGTCTCTCGTGTATTATTTAGACGTATTTCCTTTGTAACTTTTTATTAAGAGTGCCACTTTCTGTCTTAGGAGAATGATCTCCGCAGAGCGCCACCGGACTCTTGCGAAAAAATGGAGTGCATCACATGAATTAAGAGTGCGCTATGTCCAGGCTTTGATATAGAAAAGAGGGCGGCAGAAAATGGAGAAAAGAAAGCCACTACTCCGGAATCGGTTCCATCCTCCAGTAGAAACATTGATGCAAAGTGAATATATAGTGTGGAAAACCTTTCCCGTGGTTTCTTCTTCGGCCAGACTCTTGCCTGACGTTCCATCGTGATGAAGGTGACGTAATAATATCAATAAGAGATTCAACAAATATTCTAGTTTGCAAAAACTTCCATTTCTTACTTTTTTTTCCATCAGCCTTTATTTCGGCTGATGGTATATGGATCGTAGATGACTACAACTGCAAGGGTAGGAGAGAAAAAAATGGCAGGAGTTGCAGAAATATGATGTTTCTTCAGGTGTTTGCTTTACGACGAAACTGGCATCGATTCCTCTGCGAATTAGTTTCGCAAGCCATACCTTCTTGGATGGATTCCCCATCTGCCTGTCTGAATACGATGCAAAGCACGGATCCTAGATGGGAGGGATCCTCCCTCCTGACTATTTTATCCGAGAATTCCTTTCCTCCTTCCCCTCCAGTTCCCTCTCTCCCCTTTTATTCAACTTCACTGTGAGGTATCCAATCGGAGTTCGGACGCTGTCTACAGGGTATAAGCACTGGAGCGCTTGCAGATGAAGGAATGAAAACGAACGTTTCGACATCTGTAAACATGTAGACCTTAATGCAGAGGAGATGAGATGGAGTCCCGAATGAAAATTCCCCAGGGAAATTCCGGGAGAAAACTTTATCTTTGCTGCTATCTCTGGCTGCACGCGGCTTCCAGTCGGCATGCATGTGGTTGTTCGACCCCGATTTCCGCACTCTTCGAGGTTTTTTTCAGCTTCTGTTAATATTTTATGGGGATATTCGTGCCTTTCCTTCTGAGTCGTGCCGTGGTTTCTATCGATTTCACCCGTCGTCTCATTTCGAGTTGGTTGGGAGGAGGGATGCTGGGCTGAGTCGAAAATCGCATAGCCCCGAGGGAGTGGGCACGGGGTTTAATTGCTACACTTGACGCCTGACGCCGTGTTATCGATATGTTACTTATCAATGAAAAAAATGCATTCCAATTAACCGTGGGCTGCTTGGTCGATTGATCGAATTTTAACCGACCTTCATTCTCTGAACCTGGAAAAGGAAAAGTAATTTGGGGCCATCACCCGTCACATGACAATGCTGTCACTTATTCATAATGGAATATCATAGTGGTATTGTAGCATCACCTAATCGCCGCTCACTCAATCGTAATACCACCCCATCCCCGTTCCGCCTATTACGCCAATCAAACTTTAGTTTCGGTCTTCAGTGGCCTCATGGGCTACGACACTGAATTAAAAATGCATCAGTCAGCCTAGTAAGGATACATTAGAAGTTTGGATACCTGCTTATATTCGATTACATGCGTTTTATTTTTTTAATCTCGCGATTATAACTCTTATCTATTAATCAATCAAAAAGCCTAACGGAATTGCAGCTCTAAATATGAGCTGCTCTCACGTCTTTCTTATTTGAAGAAGGTTGGATGCCGTCGATATTTGACGGAGGGTATGAAAGGGATATAAGGTCGATAGGGGGCGCTTTCGTCGCTAATGAATTGAAGATGCATTAATGATGCCATGATAAATTGATTGGACATGCAATCGACATGCAACGTCATCTGAAGGGCATGGGAAAAAAAATTCAGACCATCGACCTCTCGTTCCGGCATAAGCTGCATGCGAATGTCCCTGCAAAAGTTATCATCAAAGTCTGGTGGCTTCTCCACAAAAACCGTGTCGGTAGAAGTGAATGCTGATCTGATTTTACATGAGCTGACAAAGACTCGTATGATTCCTATGCCTAATGATCGTGATGAATTCCTTATACTTGATTAACAGGAACATGCGGGAAGCAAATGGGAGAAACCCATGTGGCTCATGGCCCTTGGCCCATATTTGCACATGTCGGGCACGTCTGGCACTAATTACCATCATTGGCCGATTAATGGGTCATTGCCGGATCATTAATCGGTGGTTCATGCATCATCGAGGTCGAGTTAATCGGTATACCAGCATTGATGTCTCCACGAGATAGAGCCAAAATGGCCAAAGTAACCTATCCATATCTATTGCTTTGCGAAAGAGTGCAAATAATTACCTGTAGTCGCAAACGACCTTGTGATTTTTTTTTTGCGCGCTTCAGAGTTGAGACTAGTGGCACGGGCTAGGGTCGGATATGCATGCTTGCATATTATGGAGTAAGGTGCGATGCAGTATCTCACATCCTTCCAAAAGAAAAACGCTCACAGTTCGTACGAATTCAAAGTAAAGTGATGGCGAATGAGCACCACCAACCGAAGCCGTCCCCTGATGTCTAGGCAACTTGCCATGAAAGTGTCATGTCCACGATCCCATGTCCCATATTGAGCCTATTACCGGAATTCATCACGGCCAGAGCATAAAAGCCAAATTCCATGTCACGTTGAACATCTTGCTGTGGTATACAAGCTGTTGCCTAATTGAAAGCAAATTAAGTCATTCGTGGCTATGGTATTCAGTATATATTCAGTTCCGTCAGTCGATCAATATGCTTCAAATAGATTTCTGGCATCGATAGGCGCTTACGATTGGTCGCTTCGAATTGGGGGTGCACGTGAATTTTCCAATGTTTGATCTGGATTGCCTCATGAATTTCATCCTCATCGCTTGGAAACTTTCTGCAGTGCGTCAGGCGAAAAAAAATATAGATTCATTGATCTTCGTCATCTTACCTCTTATCGGTCTTACGGTAGGTGTTATTATTAAATTCATCTCTAGCCTTACCTCGATTATTCTTCGTCACCGCTGACCGTATCGTTACTGGTATGATATTTGGGTATCATAATGAATATTGAGAATTTCGAGGAAACCTCGAGCAGGTCTGACATAAAAAGTGAAATCGAGAGGGGAAATGGAAACCGGACAGCATCGAGGATCGGAAGGGATCTTGGCGAAACTCCTTCCCCAAGTCTTGGATTGGTGGATGTGGAAGGCGAAGGAGGCCGTCTCGGACGAAGGCCTGCGGGAGCACGCCGAAGGCCTGAGGGGTCATTCGGAAGACCTGCAGGGCCATCCCGAAGGCCAGTATCGCACTCGCAGGCGATCGTCCAGCCTCTCTGCCGTGGATCTCGATTACTACGAAGCGGAACACGCGAACCGTCACAGGCCGCACCTGAGCAAAAGCCAGACGATCCTACATTCCCAGAAGTGCAACAGCAGTAAAGTATCGGCGAGACGATTGAGTCGCCCCAAACAGATCGAGAGCTTCGGCTTCCTCCGGAAGAAAGTGTTTCAGAGTGTCAGCATCGGGGATTTCATGAACCTGAAGGATTTTGGCAGCACATCCAGCCTCGGCTCGGCCGTTCTCGCTAGTTCTCATTCCCCTCGTCACTTTTTCCCTGCCAACCCGAGCCTAAAATTGGAAACCGTGCAACCGGATTCTCATCAATCGGAAACAGAACCGCAGGTGATCGACGGCGACATCTGTGAAAGACCGGAACAAGCGCTAGTTCTCCCTCCGGCGAGGAGAGGCCAGCGGGGGCCTTACGCCCGTAAACCCTCTTTGAGCGCGAGGGAAAGAGTGCATCGCGTGTCGGCGATGCTCCATGGCAACAAACAACTCATGCAAGCCATTGCCGAACAGGTTAGTTCTCCCCGTGAGCATCGATTCTGATTCTATTCTTCTCCCCGATCGATAAATTTCCGACTCGGATCGTTTTCTCGGTGATTTATAAACCCCGAACGAACGAGGGCCTCCCGCAGAGGTCAAGGCTTGGGAGGAGGTGTATAAATCGAGGACCTGTCACAAGTACGCGACCGTTCATCATTCCTCAAAGAGAAATAAGGAGATGGCATGGGAAAGTTATCGTTTAGCGTTCTGCAGCCCGATCGCTGCGCGAGTCGGCTTCGTAAATAATCCACGGCGAAGGGGCTCCTAGTGTTGTGCCAAAAGCGTGGTAAATCGCATTCAAATATACACAATGCAACCGATGAGAGAAGATTGATCGACTCCGTCGGGAAGTCGATGGTCGGAGCTTCGAAACGGGACGGACCACCGTCGGCATTAAAAACGGTGGAGACGACGGGGGATCCCAATAGGTCACCTCGCCGGGACATCTGCGACCGTATCCCGGATTGGAGGGATTTATATCGCGGACCGTCACGCGAACCGAGAAGAAAAGATAGGCTCCTTCGACCATAAAGCTCCACGTCAGTGACGGACATTCCGGAGTCCCTGCGATCAATTAGCGAGCGATGTGCGTGTCTTCTCTTTCACTCCTTCCCCATTTCCGAACTCCATCTGCTCACCTGTCACGGTGTTGGGGAAATCCAGGTCGGGCATCGATCCGAGGCATCCCCCGCGCGGAATTCGATTTTCGATCCGATATGCAAATGAGAGAATTTTGCGAGCGAGATGGGGGAAGTCGATGTGGGCGGGGATGCGAGTCGGACGATATTTCTGGCCGGTGATCGTTTCGATCAGTAACGTATTTCATGCATGATCGCTCGTCCACGATCGGGCATTTCTGTTTCTGACGTTTTCCCATCTGCCGCTGCGGCATTCCAGATCGCTAATCGAATCCGAGGCCGTAATGAATTCCGCCGGATCTCCGCGAACGATCTGAAGGGCCCTCGACAGCGGGATCTGATGGACCTGTGGCTTCCGCTGGATCTTCTCCAGATCCCCATTCGTCTCAATTCCATCCGTACATGGCTCGGCGCGTATATGGCTCTTTTCCCCGTCTTATATCGTATCGTGGAAATGCCATCGTTTCTTGGCTTCTTGCCTCTGCTGGTATCGATCGAGGTGTGTGAGTGTGGCATCGCGGCAGCTGGGTGAGACACAAATGACATCGAATGAGTCCGTCGGTTTCTCGAATCGCGAGTGAATTTCGGATATCGCAGGACTGAATTATTTAAGTCAAGATTGGCGGACGTCGTGCCAATAGGTTACAACATTGATCACAGAGACACGGTTGCCATGTGTTGGCTCGCAATTTATGGTCTATACTGTACTTCTTCCCCTCGAATCAAATCATAAATGGATTTTTATTGCAGGCATGCATGACACGAGGCTAATCTCG